TATATATGTGTGTGTGTGTGTGTGTGTAAATAGTTAAAGGTTTAAATTAGCATAATTGTTGGTAATATCTAAAATTAGCAAAATACCTAAAACTAATATTAACAAAACAACAACTAAAAGTTACCAGGATCATTAAAAACATAAACAATTATATGCTGAAGTCATTTTCATAGAATAATTCAATAATTAAAAAGATTTAAATGTATTTCTGCTGCAATTTTTTAAAATAAAGATTCAAAAAGTTTGAATGTTACATCTACTGAAACTCACACTATAGTGGTTCAGCCAATGTTTTGAGTAAAATAACCAAAAGTGTACCGAAGTTATTAGATTAAAAAAATGTAAGGAGGAAACTATGAAAGCAATTGAGCCTTAAAACATCCTGCTTATCATCTGGGGAAATCTCACATTTTAAGACCTTCTGGCTTGAGTCATATCAAACTGTTCACTGAAGCAGATGCTTCAACACGGACTCTGATTATCTTTGTTGTCATTGCTCATTTCTGTTCAGTCGTGCTCTTTGTTCAATAAATGAGGGCACCACTTCATGTTGACACCAGCAGAGTGGCAACAGCATGGCAGTGTGCATGCTCTGTGTTTGTGTTGTGCATGTTCACGTGCTTCATGAAATATTTAAGGTAGAACGTCTTTATTGAGAGCTGAGAAGTTTTGGGTTCAGCTAAGGAGATGTCTTGAAGGTAGCAGCATTTTTTCAAGTCTAGTGCAGTTCAACCATTTTAAAAGAGACAACACAATATTTGTTACTAAAATGGTGTTTTAGTACCAATAGACCATATCTAAATTAGTTTCAATAGCAGTTTACGGCAACTATTTTTTATTGTAAAGAGCTGTTTGTTGCAAGGAGGAAACAAAGGGTGTTGGATCTTTAGCTGCTGCAGATCATCTCTCTTTGACGACAGATGTCAAGTCAAGTAGTCAAAGGACTCAAGTGCATAAGAGGTAAATAATTACTTTAGATGCTAACGAGGACCAGCTCAATGTGAGAACAACTGGCTAACTCAATGTTCAGATGGCTCTAGAGTGTACCCTCTTTGCATTGAGGCCCTTGAGTAGAGGTGTCCCTTGACCTATGGGGATCCCCCTTGACCCCCAACAGAATTACTGCAAATCGCCCTGGCTTGTGTCTGGGAGGAGAATGTGTTGAGGAGTAGAGGTAAAGATCTTTTTGAGCCTCAGCACCATCAGAACCATAAATCACCCAGCATATCCAAGAATCCCAGGAATCTAGCACTGCCTCCTTCGTGATTTCCCCCGCTTTCTGTCTCCTGTGAACGGTTTCAGGAGAACATTCTCTTTCTTTTGTCTCCTTCGCTCTCTTTATTGCAATTTCCTGTCATCACTTTTTGATACAGATGTGTTGCGCACATTTATTTGGCTTGAAAAGTTTGTCAACGCTGCAAAACAGTTCCCCCAGCACCTACTGAAAACGTGCTGCAAACAGTGTAGAATATTTACCGTATGACAGCTGATCCAGGGACTGATAATGAATTAGAAGTAGGAAGCCATTAGAACCACCAGGGGATCAGCTTTACCGTTCCCCACTTCATAGCTGTCAGTAGCCCTCTGTGGCAGCTCATTCACAGTTAGGCCACTGATATAAAACTGTCAGCATGCCCAAAATTAGTGCGCAGTTGTGTTTACAATATTTACACTAACACTCGCATTACGAAGTGTGAAAGAGGGTTTGCTCGTTCATCATGCAAAGCTTTATCTTTGACGCACCAAACTGTTGGAACCCTGGAGCATATTTGACCCACTTCTGTCAGAAGTAATCTACAGTGAAAATCCAGTTTTTGAAAGGAAAATAACATTCAGATGACACAGTTTACATTTGATAAGCCACTTTCCATAAAGCACAATGGATGCCAGTGAGCATCGCAATATATCCTTTAAGATAATATGTTCTTTGGCCGCTGAGCAGCATTGGTCTCTTGTGGCCTTGTGGCATGTCAGAGAGGCTTCCACTTTACACAGCTAACATGCCCCCCTGAGAGGGGAGGCCAGACCCTACTTGCAGCTTTGCAATTTAACTATAGAAAAAGGCGAGGGCAGGGAAGGAGGAGGCTAGATAGCTTGTCACGGTGCCCAGTGGGTTCGGAGCTTGTGGTTGGAATGCTGGAAAAACTGGCTTGTCTCAGTGATTTATGGTGGGGAACTCTGAGTCAGGGGAGCGGGAGAGCAGGATTGTGCAACGTGAATACACAACACTGTTAGGTTTTCAATGAATCTAAAGCATGCTTTAATTTGAATATGCTAACCGTTCTTCGTTTTCCTTTTGGGATCCCATCCAAGAAATCGTAATCATGAAATACTGCTGGGAAGAATGTCATTCTAATAAGCAATAAAAAGGGGGAAACACTGTACAAGATTACGGGTTCCCCTAAATGCTTTTATTAAGCATGTGCAGTTTATGACATCGCCATGAATCAACAAAACTATGAGAGACTGGATGCTTTATTGGCTTTAACAATAATAAAAAAAAAAACCAGCTCAATATGAATTCTGTTCATTTCACATGTAAAACATTTTACACAAACAGCATATATACAGTTTAGATAAAACAAAGACAAAGAACGAACGGGACAAATTTCTTTAAAGTCTGTTTCTGCATGCATTAACAATCAAAAATATAAACCCATAAAATCCAAAAATGTAATGATCCACGTTCAAACACATCCTGCTGTGAGCAGTGGGCTTAAAGACTGGTCTAAAAAACACGAAAGATATTACAATAGCTCTCCTTTAATTAGGATGTTTTTCACATGGTTAAATTAAAACGTATCGTGAAGGATGAAAGAGTGTGCTAAGTGGATAGCATTCCTTGGACGCTGATCAGACATCCCCCAGTCTTTTATAAGTAAGTGAAGATATGATTGAGATTTTTTAAGAGCACAGAAGGGATGGCCTTTATGGTGCCTCAGGGCCAGTTTGAAAAACCGGCGTGCTGATGGCCATCAATGTCTGTGCAGGAGGGTGGTGGACCATTTGCAGCAGATGGAAGCAAGCAGTTAAGATGGGGGAGATCTGCAGGGTAAAGACTCTGAGCACTGCTGCTGTCACTAAACGAGCCGAACAGGGAGGACAAGGAGCAATCCATAGAGACAAGCTCTGAGGGAGAGGAGGAGGAAGTTCTGACAGCACATGCTGTTTGGAGCCTCAGGTGGTCCGAGTAAGAACTTAGATTGGGTGGAAACCCCTGGGACAAGCATGCCTCCCTGCTGCCATACTTCTGCTCTTTCTTGTGCCTCATCCTGCGGTTCTGGAACCAGATCTTGACCTGGCGGTCGGTGAGGTGCAGCCCGGCTGCCATCTCCAGCCTCCGGTGGCGCCGCAAGTATGGACTGAAGTGGAACTCCTTCTCCAGTTCCAGCAGCTGGTTGTTGGTGAAGGCCGTTCTCTCCCTCCTCACTCCTCTGCCTGCCACACGACTGGCTGAAGATGGAGATAAACACATAAAGAAGAAAAAAAAGAGTTAAAAGTGGAACCGCCACACGTCTGACATCTCAATCTGGAAAAGTACGGCCTTCAGGAAGCCTTCAGGTGCCAGAAAGGCCCACGTTAATCCTCAGCTAATCAACCTGAGACCTAGTGGAGCCCTCAGTTCCTATTCAGTCATGCTTGAGACTCTTTACAAGTCTGGCTGTCTGCTGTCATGTGTTCAGGGAAAGTTCCCTGCCGAAGAAGCAGTCTGGGGAAAACATCTGACGCCACCGTGGCTGCCTGACAGGTCACATTAATCAGAGCTCCACACGGAAGCAGACCTGTCAAATCCCCATCTCAGTCACTTAAAAGGTACCTTGGGAGCACCACTGAAAATAACCGCCATTAGGGATTCAGTTTGACATGTATATGAGCAATACCAAGGCCCTGTTGATACCAGTATGATGAGGAGGGGTTAATGGATGTGTAATAACACCTATGGTGGCTACGTTAAAAGGGATGTTCTTCAACACAACAGACTGCTTCTGTTATTTTTGTGCCTGCTATAAAGTTGTAGCATCTTTTATAAACAAATATTGGAATCTTAATTAAAAATATAGCCAATTAAGACTGAAATTGCTGTTTGAACTTGTGTTTTAGCACATGTGCCTGTGTAGATGGTGTCTTCCCTTTTAGCAAAGTCAGCAGATATACTTTGTGACTGGGTTTTAAAAATTAGATGAGTCTTATTGTTAACTGTGTAGAAATAGAAAAAAGAAAAAACAGACATTCAGTTGAGATTTGCAGCCTTTGAGCTGCAGCTTTTTTGACTATGAATTTATGTTTAAGGGTCCGAGATGGAAGAGGGAGGGCAGCCGACCTGGGACCAGAAAGCTGCGGTCCGATTTCCCATGTCATTCCCACATCACCCACTTCAGTGGTGTCTCTGAGCAAGACACCCAATTTGCTCCCCGCACACTTATACATAGCTGCCCACTGCTCCACCTGGATGTATCTCAGGTGTGATGGGTTAAATGCAGA